CCCGCCGCCGCCGTCGCCACCTCCCGCCGTCTCGCTCATCTTGACCCGGACCAGCGAAGGCGCCGCGGAACGCTCGCGACGCGCGGGATTCCCAAAGAGAACGCGAGGCTCGAGGAGGTTCTCCGCCTACCCAGCACCGGGCGACCCAACGTTCCACGGCCCGAACGCCGGCGTCTCCAACGTTCCACGGCCCGAACGCCGGCGTCTCCAACGTTCGACGCGAAGAAGCGCGCCGGGACGCGTCTGGACGTGACCCTCGCGGAGGCATGGCGGGAAAGGAAGGCGGAGCGGCACCGCTGGCCGGTCCCGTGGGCGGCGTAGCCCCGAAGCGACGATCGCGGGGCTGACGATCTCCCCACCACGTCGCCGATGTGCGAAACTGCGCGCGCCCTGACTCCTGAGAAGTAATCATCCTTTTCTCCCTCTTGCAAAGAGCTCGCTCTGACCAGAAGTGGTAAGTAAGAGCCTCTCTGAACTTCCGCTCGGAGCTGCCGCAGGGCGCCTCCTTCCACCTGTTTCCTTCCGGGGCGCGTGTTTCCCTACACATTTTTTTCTCGATTACATCTGGATTGCTTAGCGCCGGTGTCTGGATGTTGGGCATCTGCGGAAGAATCTTACCCGATAAGGTTACAGCTTCGGTCTCCAAAGGGGGCACCATAGATGTAAGTCGCCGTCAGGTCTGGGTTGCGATTTCCCTCTTCTGACCCTTTTGGTTTTCATGGAAAGAGAGGATCCCCGGCATTGGTTGGGAACTCAGTTTCCCCTTTTATTTCCTTAGAAGAAAGAAAGTTTGGAAACAAGCATTCGATCTCGAACGAGTCGGACTTTCCTCCTGTTTCTGCCTTCTTGGTTTAAATTTGGAAGCTCATTCAAACGTGCATAAGTAATCGCAAGCAACCCAGTCCGTTGCTCTTTGTAAAGCCGGGCTGAGCAACTTCTGCTCCTCCCGAGGGTTGTTACGCTACAGTTTCCATCGGCCTTAGCCACCGTGGAGAACACTGGAAGATGTTGGAACGTGCAGTCCTTGCTTGGGGGTTGAGAGGCACAAATCGTCTACCCTTATTTGAAAGACGGGCGGGAGTCCTCTGCGCGCTGACTGGTGAATGCAGAGCAGGTCCACTGGGCTCAGTGAGGAATTATGTATTTAATAGCACTGTCATTTTTTTAAAACATTGGCTTGTTGCTTTCGTGTGTTATTGTTACTATGGTTATTGTTATTGTTATAAACCACCCAGAGTGGCCTCTGGCCAGATGGGCAGTATATGAGTCAATTTAATTAATTAATTAATTAAATGTATTTTGGATCAAGGATAAAAATCAGAGCACAACATGCGCATGGAGGACTATTTCACTGTTTAAAATGTCTGGATGGCAGACCTTATCTCTAAATGCAGCAGGACACACATAAGTGCTTGGGGTGCGTATCTGCCTTGCACATACTTGTTTGGTAGCAACAATATGCCACTTACATTTGGATAATAATTGCCAAGAATAGTCATTTGTGTAACACGTTGGTTGCATTCTTGAGTATTTATTTGTTAGTTACACTCATATGTCCAGATGATGTGCAAGTCTTTCCCCAAGAGCCTTGTGAGTTAGTTGAGTCTAAGAGAGAGCTATTGGCATGGCTAAGTGGGGATCAAAACCTGGATTGTGGAAGCCCTATTCCTGCCCTAACCACAACACACTCCTGAGCACCACTGATCAAGTGGTCTCATTGTGGTGCTGATAATGCCAAGATTGTATATTTAATCTCCTGGCTATTGGTGGCACAAGTAAGGTCTTCATACTTCTCCCAGCAACCACAGCTCATATACAAGATATAGATACCTCTCATGCAGGAGGTTCAGTCTATGCAGTTCCATTCTCTACCACAATATGCAGGAGGTTCAGTCTATGCAGTTCCATGTTAAGGGGATTTGACAACGGGTGGTAGAGAATGAGGCTCTATCAAAGACATCCGAGAACTGTTACAAGCTAGTGTAAGCACTTTATTGTTATGCACCATCAGGTATCCTCTAATTTATAGCAATCCTAATACAGGTATGTGAGAGGTTCAGGGAATGTTTTACTATTGCCATCATTAGGTGAGCTCCCATGGCTGAGCAGAGATTTGAACCAGGTCTCCCGAGTCAGTCTGATGCTTTATCTGCTACACCATCCTGGTTCTCAGAGTAGATTAAACTAAATTATCGGTGCCAGTGGTCCAGTAATCTGGGTTTTCTGACAAACGTTGCTGCAGAAAATTTTCTATTACCCTAAATAGAACATAACCTGATTTGGCATATTTATTTGACTAAGACTTAAATGTTTTAAGTGCTCCAGTAGTCCAGAAGTACTTAACTTTTTCCTTGGACAGTTGGGCTACCTCATAGTAATAAACCACCCAGTGGACCCTCTACTTACGGAATTAATCCGTATTGGAACAGTGGCTGCAGGTCAAAAAGTCTGTAGATCGAGGCTCCATTGACCTACAGTGCATTCAAAACTGATTAATCTGTAACCGGCCGTTTTTGTTCTGTTTTTGTTCTGTTTTTGTTCCATTTTGGTTTTTTTCTGGTCTGTAGGTTGATTCTCCGGCTGCAAGTCAAACCTAAATTTTGCAGGCAGAGAAGTCTGTAACTAGAAGGGTCTGTAAGTCGAGCCGTCTTTAAGTCGAGGGTCCACTGTACTGACTCAGTATGGAGGTGTCTGCTCACTTAAGTACACAAAAATATCATTTTTTACTCATTTACTAAGAAATTTAGAGGTAATCATCCTTTTGCTAAATTTGAGAGGTATTTAATTTTTTAAAAAATTATCATTCTCTCTGGATGTTGAAGATCACACAACGAAAGAATGGCTACCTTAAAGTTACCTAAGGGCACAATTCCAGCTAGCCAAGATGGCTGAGACCAGACAGTGTATTCAACTGTTTCTGAGTCTTATCTCTATACAGTGGAACCTCTACTTACGAACTTAATCTGTCCCGGAAAATGTTTGTAAGTTGAAGTTGGGCTTTTTAATTTCACTTTACGACGTTTTCGCTCTACAGCGATTTCGCTGGAACAAATTAACGTCATTAAGTGAGGCACCACTGTAAACCGTTCCGGCCGAAGGGAAAAATACCTCCCAAAATAAAAAGAACACAACAAGCGTGGTCGAAAGGCACTAAGGCTTTAAGAAGGGGGAAAACCTAAAACAACAAACAGCGAACAGACCTCTGTTGCTGAGGTTTTAAGGGGGGAAAAAGCCACCAACAGCACAGAAACTACTGGCCCCAAGACACACACACACAGAGAAAGAGAGAGAGACTGAGAGACAGAGAGAGAGAGAGAGAGAGAGAGACTCGGAAGCAGAAGAAGGTTCTCCCAGCTATGACGACACACCCTCTAACTGTGGAAAGTGAAACAGCTACAGCACAAAGAAGCAACCTCGGGGCCACCTACAGTTAGAAATTTAAATTGCTCGCCTTTTTCCCCTGCCTTTTTTCTGTTCGTAAGTGGAAAGCCAAGTGCCTTTTTCTGTTCGTAAGTGGAAACTCCGTTCGCAAGTTGGAGCCAAATTTTGCGGATGGAGCTGTTCGTAAGTTGAAATGTTTGTAGGTAGGGATGTTCGTAAGTGGAGGTTCCACTGTACAGTATTTGCTCTAAAAAGTCTCATCAGAGCAACCCACTCCCTTTGTATATTTTTCCAGCATTATTTTGAGACTTGTTTCTTTTCCTCCTTACTTTTCCCTTTGTTAGATGCAGCTCCCCTGCCCACCTGCTCTGTTCCCTCCCCTCTCCCCAAGATGCAATTTCACCCAGAGATTTCTCAGTTTTTGCTCATGGCAGTGAGCACAGGTTCTCATTGTAAGGGGTACAAGTGCAGCCATGGCTAAGGTGGTTGTATCATGGTGTGTCATGTAACTCTGTGAAACAGTAGGCATGTCAAAGTTCTGTGCGAGGAATATTACTCAAAAGGTTAGTAGTAATCCTGCATTTTTCCCCTTTTTTTTTCTTTTCCAAGATACAGGATGTCTTTCCATTCTGTGCGAGGGTGTCCCAGGGGCCGAGGAGGAGCTGCAGTAAGAGCTTCAATGCAAACGTTTCGCCCCCAAAACCTGAGGCAGCTCCATCCTCAGCAGCCTTCAGTTCAATATCAATATGACCAGCAAAATGTGTCAACCTCTGCCTATTCTAACCCTCCATCTACAAACTATGTACCTCCTAGGCTGGATTTTGTCCCATATCCACCACCAGTTCCCCCATCACCACAGAACACGGTTGCCCAGTGTCCTCTGAGGCCACCTTTTACAGGTCCTCAAGTGAGGCAAAGTTTCCCACTCCCTCCCTGCTTTCCCCCAGCCCCACCTCCGGTCCCAAATCCTGGTAACCCCCCCTCTGTTCCACCAAATCCCCCCGGGCAAAATACTTTCCCCTATATGATGCCACCTCCATCCATGCCAAATTCTGTGCCGCCACCGATAATGCCTCAGCAAGTGAATTATCAGCCTGTATACTCTCCGGCCTATTCGCAGCAAACTTTCCCCCCACCTAATTTCAATAGTTATCCACACAATACAAACTCTTACCCGAGCAACAGTGGCAACAACACTAACAGCAGTAATAACAGCAGTGGTGGTTTCCGAACCCCGAGTCAGTATCAGGCGGAGAAGTCCCAGGCGGAGCGGAGGTCTCCGGAGAGGAGTAAGCACTACGATGATCATCGCCACCGGGACCACTCTAGCGGTCATGGGGATCGACATCGTTCCACCAATCATGGCGATCGGCGGGATCGAGGGAGGAGTCCTGACAGGCGGCGGCAAGAAAGTAGTCGACACCGGTCAGATTATGTCAGAGGACGGACGCCACCCCGACACAGAAGTTACGAGTGGTCCAGGTAAACTGGTTTGATTGTACCACCACTGCATCCTTCCCTACCTCATCACTGGGTTGGGGAATGTGTGGCCTTCATGGTGTTATTTGGTGCTGATCTCCTCAGCTCTATCCACTGTCGCATTTCAGCTCAACAACACCCAGAGAATCATAAATGTCACATCCTTTCTCCATCAAAACTCAGAGTGAAACCCATGAAGGAGGGTGGATTTGATCTTTTTCATTGTTATTAAAGTGGGTTAGGAATGATTAGTGTTGGTTTTTTTGTGTCTTTTTTTGAGGTGGGAAAGTGTTTTATGGTTGATATATTTGGGTTAAGGTTTCTCAGACTGAAGGAAATGGTGGCATTTTCCCAGCTGTATAACATCTTGCATCGCAAGGTCCAATTCTGTAATCTCAGCGAAGGAAGAACGGAAGTTAGCCTAATGATAATTGATATTTTCCCCTTTCTATTCATGTTTCTTTTGAAATTCTGCAGGTGCTCTTGTTGGTCTTGTTGGTATTACCTCCTTCCACTATGTTTTGTTTTGCTCGCACCCCAATTGCAGAAGCAAGCAAGAACCAAAACATTGTACAGTGAGGTCCCTGCACCGGTAGACTGCTTCTTTTCTTTTCTTTAGATGCCACCTGTCTCCCAGAATTGGGATCCAAAGCGTCTTGTAAGACAATGTAGAGCAATAGCAGAATTGAAATAAAGTGAGCAATATTAAAATGGAATAAAATTCAGTTAATGTGATTAAAATGAAATGTTAAACCTTTAAAAATAGCAGTAATAATGTAGTTAGAAACAATGAGAGCTGGGACATCTGCTGGGATCTTAAAACTGGAGGCCCTTAATTGTCAAAGTCCTATTTAGATGAAAAGGTCTTCATCTGCTGCCAAAAGAGGACAGGGAAAGGGCAAACCTGACCTCTCTTGGTAGGGAGTTTGAGAGCCTGAGCTGCTGCCTTGCCTTGATTCCCCCTCTTTCCTGTTTTGCTTTTTGCCCCTTCTGTTTCACAGCGGAGTGTCCTGCCCAGAGAGATTGTTGTGTACTGTGAGTCAGCAGAGAGCAAAAGGTGCCCACTTCTCTGGATTATTTGCTGCCAATTGGCAAGGGTTTATGACACAGCTGTTTAACAACAACATCTGGACCACCTAATTCCTCCTGGAATTGATAGCTTTCTAGCTGCCTAAAAATGGTGACTATTATGGCGCCACACTGATTAAGGCAATCCCTCCTTTCTCTTCCAAGCTGCCATAGTGTTTCACAAGCCAACATCCCTGAGGTCTGCTGCTGATGGCGGACCTTTGGGCCTCCACCCCAAAGAGAGCCAAATAAGTTCCATGTATGCATTAAATATGTCCCCAGAACATAAAATACACACTATGAGAAGCTTTATTCTTCCACTTCAATCTAAAGGGACCGACAGAGGGAAAGGCACCGGCACCGTGACAGCAGACAATCTCCATCTATAGAGAGATCCTATAGAAAAGATCACAAGAGAGCAGGAAGGTAAGATGAGATCTTTGACTCTGGAAACCGTTTGTTTTCTTCCTTGAGTTCATCCAAGACCATTCTATTAGAGCAGGAACAGGGAACAGGATACTTTTTATATGCTGTTTTGGGCTATAGTTTCTTTCAGCCTTGGCCAGCACCAGTAGTGGTGAAGGGTGGTGGGAGTTACAGTCAAACAGACATTGTGGGGACCTCATGTCCTGCACGCCTGCATTAGACATTGCCTTTTGATTCCAGGAATGCCAGGAAAGTCTGGCAAGATTATCAGAGCTAGTACAGGCACTGAGCAAGTATTTAAATGCCGTGGCTTGGACAGTATGCAAGACTGGCCATAGCGTTCAATACATGGCTTCTAAGCTGATTAAAATTCTTGATTTCTTGTGATTCCATCTTCTTTATGTCAATGAATGCATGTCCCCAAGAACTTTTTCTAGACACTGATGGCAAACAGAGAAGCGATTCAAGCATGCAAACATATATTTATCTCTGCTTGCTTTTCACCCCCTGTAGTTTCATGTTTGCCACTTGTCATCTTAGATATTCAACTCAACTTGAGACTTCTCCAACTGGGATTCTGTTAAGTCCTTCTTTCCCTCCATCTCATATTGCTTCAAATCTGAAGAGGCCGCATATGAAGGTGCATCACTTGGTGATGGCGGCATCAGTACTGTGTGAATGAGGCCATGGATGTCAGGCAGGGGCAAGAGATTTTGCTGCCTGGGGTGACAATATTGAGCTCCCTCTATAGTCCATAGATAAAAGCTAACTGGAATAAGAATAAAAGAAAAAAAATTATTAAGTGATTTGGAGATGGCACTTAACACCAGTGACATTAAAGTATACGGATAAAAAAAACATTCCAAGATACGTTGGAGAGGTGAGCAATATTTTGGAATCTACTTCCATATGTGGTGCGAATGTGAATATATAATTAATTTTGGAAGTTGGGTTTTTTGAAAAAATAAGTGAAATATTAAATTTAAGAGTATGTCCTGAAATAGCACCTTTGCTTGATATTGGAGAGAGAACAGTGGAAGCTGACAACGAAAGAACTGGTTATATTGGAGAGAGAACAGTGGAAGCTGACAATGAAAGAACTGGTTATAAATTTAGTAACAGCAGCTAAATTCATAATAGCAAAGAACTGGAAGGTTAAGTGTGATCTCCAAATAAATGAATAGTATGAAGAAGTGTGGAATATAGCTGTTAATGATAAATTAACATGTACAATGAGAGTAAGAAAGGGGATGTTAAACAAGAATATGTTTGGAGATATATTGGAAGAATTTAATTGTCTTTGTATTAACAAAGGGGGAATGGTTTTGTACCTCTGCAAAGTCCATGTATTTTTGGAAGGGGAATGGGGGTTCATAAAAGGAAACAATTAACTGCATTGGTCCCGGTGAGGGGGAGCGCAGTAAGTATAAACGTTGATTTCCTTAGTTGCTTTATTTTTTTATGTATGTTGAAAATTTTAGTTAAAAAAAGGAAGCTAACTGGACTAGCAGTTGGACTGTAATTCAGCATAGGCGATGTGACTGTTTCCTCCATCCTGAGGGAGCAGATTGGTTTAGGGGTAAAGGACAGGTTGTGTAGCACACATTGGTCAACCCCTAACAACACGGGACAGAGAGGTGGCACATTTTGGTCCCCAGATATTCTTGGACAAAAATTCTCAGAAGCCTTCACCACCAGCTGTGCTGGCCAGGATTTCTAGGAGTTGTCATCCAAGAACATCTCTCTGGGTACCCAAGGTTGGGAACCACTGATATAGATGCTTTTGAGGACTGGGATGTGAAAATGTTGGATGTGAACTTGTGAAACCACAGCGCGTGTGTGTGTTTGTGAATGAGATCCAGTTTTGTCACCAACAAAGGACTTCTGTTCCTGTGCAGTCGATCTCCCAGCCAAGACCGAAAGAGACCTCGCTGGGAAGATGACAGGGACCGGTGGTCAGAAAATGCCAATAGGGAGAAGAGTTATACCTCCATCAAGGATAAGGAGCCCGAAGAAGCTGTTGTTGAAAAGAATGAGGAAGATGATGAGGACCTGCTGAAGCCCGTCTGGGTGCGTTGTACCCATTCAGAGAGTTACTATTCAAACGATCCCATGGACCAAGTGGTATGTATTTGTTTTGGTAACCCAATGGCTTAGATCCTAAGTTAATTTAGCTTATAATGAACTTCATGGAAGGAGAGTTTCCTATGCCCATTGCAGCTCACTGCGATAAACCCTCTCCAAAGAGCTGAGAAATGCCCTCCTGAATAGTAGAGAGTCTGGTGGCACCTTAAAGATGACCGTAAGCTTTTGTGAATTGCCACTCATTTCATCGGATGGGGCCGCAAGACTCTTCAGGCAGACATGCCTACTTCCTTGAAAGCTGCTGGATAATGTGACTCAGAGAGCAGCTGAAGGAGGCCAGAATTGCTCTAGATCCAAATTTTTTCCTGATTTTGAGTGATTCCTACATTATTCAGGAGTACCCCCCACACCTTCCACAAAGGTTTTTGGGAACTACAGGTAGCTGCAGAGATAGAAAACTTTCCTCCTGTAAATTTACTTCACTTATTTTAGAACCCAACCCATCTGCTATTGCTTGTCTTCATGACCTCTTTGGGATATCATGTAGCAGTGGTAAGCATTATTAAATCATCATCATCATTTTATGAACTGATTTAGGTTCCTTCTTACAGTATGACCCTTTGTGAAATGCTTCACTTTAGACTGTAGGTAAGGGAAGAACATTTGAACTCTCAAAGCTTAGTTGTTTAAATCATCATTTAAATGAACAAGAAAACAGGACAACTTTAAATCCTTTATTTTATGCCATGTTTTTCAAGCTAGATAATCCATATAGAAGAAGTAACTGTAATGACTGGTTGTTATAAAAGCTAACATAGATCTTTTTGCAACTAAAAGAAGTCTTATACATACTATCAGAATGTATAATGACCAGTAATGCAGAATATGTGCCATTTGTCTTGTGAAGATTATTTTTGCTCAGATGCACAAATAAGGATTTCGGAATAACTTTTGGCACATGTAAATGAAGTGCCCTAAGCGAGATTACTAATAGTGTAACTTTAGGGCTGTTTGCTCAGAAATAAGCCACATTGATTTCAGAGTGACTTTCTTTCAGGTGAGTTCATATAGGATTACTGCTTGCACTCATAGAACCTTTTGTGTAGAAATAAATTCTACTGGTTTCAGTGAGGTTTGCTTTGAATAAGATGCATGTAGGATCATATCATTAGTGTATTTTTCTGTGGTGCATACAGTACATATTTGTAAAAAAATCTCAATATAATTTGAAGGTTAAAATATATGCAGTTTAAGTACAGTGGTGCTTCGCTTAACGATTGCCTTGCTTAACAAGCAAATCGCTATACAATTAGGTTTTTGCAATCGCAAAACGATGGTTTAAATGGGGTTTATCCGCTTTACAACGATCAGCAAACAGCTGATTGTCGGGTTTCAAAATGGCCGCCGGCTGAAGAAGATACCCCCCGCTGTTTTTAGGACTGTTTTTGCGCTAGACAGGCACCAGAAAATGGCCGCCGTATGGAGGATCTTCGCTGGACGAGCAGGTATTCAGCTCATTGGAACGCACTGAACAGTTTTCAATGCGTTTCAATGGGTTTTTAAAATTTCGTTTGATGACGTTTTCGCTCTGCAGCGATTTCGCCTCGCTTAACGTCGTCAAGCGAGGCACCACTGTATTTAATGACTGATCTCGAAAATCACCTAGTCTTGCATCAAGAGTTTGTTGTGACAGTCACAGTCAGACTGCTTTTCCAGAGGTAGTTTAAAAAGCTGAAGGTAAAAGTAAACAAAACACACATGTGTAAACACAAAGAATTGGTACTTTAAAATATATTTATGTATCATTTTTAAAAGCCATTTTTTTAAAAAAAGTTTTTTTTTCAAATCCCCCTTGTTTTTTCTTATTTCTGTGAGAACTTATAAAGCAAGCATGTCAGAAATAAGTATAGCATAAACATAAAATAACTGACAATGCAATTCTCCATATCTTCTCAAGAATGTGGAGAGGTCCATTTGAGTTTCATGGTGCTTACTCCCATGCAAATCAGCCTAGGATGGCACTTTAAAAAAAATCTTACCACGAGGGATCTCAGTGTGCCAAGAGCTTTGGGCACAGGAAATGTTCTGTTTGGATACCTTTGAACTTGGTGAGGGCGATCTCAGAATAGCCTATGGCTATTGTACTGGGATTGTTAATCCTGTGGCTGGCTATCTGATTACTATACGAGGGGCTTCAACGGGATCATAGAGTTGGAAAGGGTCATTTTGGCCCCTCTCTGCTTGATGCAAGAAATCTGGAGGAGAACCTCCCCAATAGATAACTCTCTAGCCTTTGGTTGCATGTCCAGTACAGGAAAACCCATGACCACCATCCTGAGGAAGTGGTTCCATTTTGGTTCTGCTGTTAACCATCAAGTAGTTCCTCCTAATGTTCAACTAAAATTTCCCTTCCTATAATTTAAGGCCATTAAATCTAACCTCAATGAGGTAAACAGAGAGCACGTCTTTCTCATCTTCTGTGGGGCAAAGCCTTCAGTAGTTTGAAGAGTGCACTGCTGTCATATTCTGTGTCCGTGTTTTCTTCTCCACACTAAACACACACCCAGTTCTTGAAGCTTGTAAGACTTATTTTCCATAGCTCTGACCATTTTTGTTACTTGCTCCGAATCTGTTATTTCTCTGTGCTGGGCCCAAGACTGAATACAGTCTTCTACATATAGTAAGACCAATGCAGAATAAATTAGAATGGTTATATTTCAGTGACACCTTACACACCTCTATCGTTGAAAGCACCTCTGAGTCGGAAACATCCTGTGATCTTATGTACTGAGCATTAAATTGGTGTGATAATATTCAAATGTGCCTGTAGGCAACTGAGGAAGGCAAACACTCGCTTTCCCTGCTGTTCCCTGTATGGAAGTATTTTCTGTGATGCGAATACTTCAGGGGCGTAAGCACGTGGGAAACCGGTGGCTGGTGGTGTCCCTCCTGTACTTGTAATTTTTATCATGAGCCCAATGTTCTGACTGGTGTTAGGAGGATGGCTGGAAGGCATGGCAGTTTCCACATGCTGAGGCATATAAACTGAGAAAAACTGACACAAGTCTGCCTGACTTGAACTGAATGCAGATGGCCTTTTAAAAATCGGGGGGATGTTTTCAGAAAGTGCTTCCTCTTGCCAAATATCCTTAGCTCCTGTTTTCTTGTGATTGCAAGGGAGATTCCACCGTCGTTGGAACGAGCCGGTTAAGAGATTTATATGAGAAATTTGAAGAAGACCTCGGAAAGCGTCAGGCTAAGGCCAAAGCTGCCAGGCCACCCTGGGAGCCGCCCAAGACTAAACTGGATGAAGATGTGGGTAAGCACCACACTGAGAAGGACTGAACAGTCCGGAAATATTAACAAGAAGTTGTTTTTTCGTTCCCTATATTGGAAGAGGGAATTCTAGTCCGAGTTCTTCGAGCTTGCACCAGAAGGCCTTTTTCCCTCTTCTCTCTGTGGTGCTGCACCACTTCTGCAGGCTCCCTGGAAATTTACTGAGGGCGTAGGTTTTCCATTCCTCTAGGTCTTGAAAGTGGGGCTGCAGCACCCAAATGCTATTGACTACAGGCAGACTTACTTTTGAGTAAGTACAGGTGGAAGAATTTTAGCCTTTGTGCTGGATTTTGATGTAATGCTCAGTTTCTCCCTGTGTCTGCGTGTGAGCTGGATATGAAGCCACTTCTGTTTATCTGATCGGAGCAACAGCATTTTAAAGTATAATTAACTTTTTTGTTACCAATGCAAAAGGCACCCTTTCTACTTTTCCCCTTTTGATTCTTCCGTACTTTAATATCAAAGGCATTTTAAGCCATTGTATTCCAGCAAGGAGGTGTGGGTTTCTGTAAAAGCATTCCCCTAAGTGAGCTTGTGGGCTCATATGGTGGCTACTATGGATGAATAGAACCTGGGAAGGGAAACTGTGACTTACAGGCCTAATTTGGCCCCTGGGGTTCTAAGGAATGCCTGTTTATCTCCCTACAACTTTATTCCTGGAACTTCCTCCGATATCCTTTGGATAGCCCTTTCTCAAAATCCTATTTCCCATTCTTTATACAGGGATATAAATGGAGCGTGCTCCTGTGTTTCCCCCCCCCCCTGAACATTGAGTCCACCCTACCTCTCATAACTGAGATGGAAAGGAATGCCCTTTTTGACAAGAGGAAGTAATCTTGCTGGAGGGGCAACAGGTCTTGTAAGCAGTGCTCCACCCTATAAGGTCTTCTGATCTGCCCACATGGTCTCGGGGGCAGATCCATCCTGCTGCTGAGATGATTGCAGTTCCTTGTCCCTGGAATATAAATGTGTTCAGTTTTCCTTTCTTTTTTTTCCATGCTATGGCCCTACCCCGGGGAGAATTCTCTGTTCTGGTTGTTAGGAGGCACGTGTGACTGGGTGTCTGTGGTCAGAAGGTGCATCTCATTTCGTTTTATATTTATATTCATTTATTTATTGGACTTATCGTATATACCGCCCCATAGCGCTACAAGCACTCTCCGGGCGGTTTACAATTTTTAATTATACAGGCTACACATTGCCCCCCCAGCAAGCTGGGTACTCATTTTACCGACCTTGGAAGGATGGAAGGCTGAGTCAACCTTGAGCCGGCTACCTGGGATTTGAACCCCAGGTCGTGAGCACAGTTTTAGCTTTTTAGAACGGTTCTTTCCTTTTTAGATTCTGTTCTCTTCCATCTCTGGAAGGAAAAATTACAGATCCATGTTCTGGTAAAAAGATACCGGTCATGTAGGAAGAATGAGGAATGGGTCATGTTCTGAATGTTCATTTTCAGTGTTTTTTGTTTTGTTTTTGTTTTTTGCGCACTCTGGCGGCATTAGGGAGCTCAAGTGACTCTGAATGTGACTCAGAAGATGACAGCTGTTCCAGTAGCTCAGACTCAGAGGTGTTTGATGTCATTGCTGAAATCAAGCGCAAGAAGGCTCACCCTGATCGTCTCCATGAGGAGCTGTGGTACAATGACCCTGGCCAGGTAGGACATGTGAAAAAGGGGGACCCAAAGGTTTCCACCTCTATAGGATGTAATTTACCAAGTCCAGATCAGTATGGTACTTAAATTAGCAATGATTAACTGACTGCAGTGGTTCATTTAATTAATTTATTTATGTAATTATCCCGCCCAACTGAGGGTGAAGCTATTACTTTGGGCAGCTAACAGATCAGTAGAATCACATTTTATGAGGGGGTGAAGCCTGCAAATAGGCAGAGTCCCCCCCCGACTGCCAGAGGTGGCTAACCTTGGGAGTATGGTGTAGTCATGTGGTAACCTCGATTAGGCAAGTGTCCGGAGAAGGGGCTATCAAAGGCCACGGGAGAGAAATCAAGCTTCCAAGATGAGGGGCATTGTATCTCCTGAATATCACTAGCTGGAAAAACGGGGGTTGGCCAACAGCAAGGGGACACTTTTTTGACATCCTATGTATGGATGTCCCAACAACATCTGGAACCAACAGTGCTCGTCTTAATGTTCAGAATGAAAATAAAGAAAGCAAAAATACTGTTCAGATAGCCATTCCAGTTTGAATAGGAAGCAAAGGGCATTAGATGTTGACAGTGATTTAAATTGCTCTCAGACCAAAGATGCTGCCCTCACAGTTGTTTAAAAGTTTGGATTACAACTCAAAAAATTGTTTTTTTGCGGCTTTAGAGAAACAAAGCAACACCCCTCATTGGGAGAAAAGCAAGATATAAGTAAAATGAATTAAAGAATCAATATGGATGGGGAAAACTCTGTATCTTTTTTAGAGGACAGAGATATTTATTGACATTCCAGTTATGCAGAATACAAAATTTGCCATGAATCTGGAGGCAAGTCATTCAGAGATCTGGGGTATTGTTATTCAGTTAATTGAGTCACCATATCAAGAATGTCTGGTGTTTTCATTTTCAAAATGACAATTGATAGTGGTGTGTGTGTGTGTGTTACTTTTACATCAGAAGATCTGTCTATTGGTAAAGGACTTTCTGACAGGTAGGCCACAGTCAATAAGGATGGGATATTAGCATTCTTCTACCTTGATACTAAGTACAGGAGCTCCACAGGGTTGTGTATTAAGCCCTTTTCTTTATTCCCTGTACACACATGATTGCACCCCATTGTATAACACCAACACAATTATTAAATTTGCAGATGATACAACAGTGGTGGGGCTTATAGATAAGAACAATGAGTCTGTTTATAGGAAAGAAGTACAAGGGCTGACACTATGGTGTAAAGAAAATAATCTTAATCTTACACACACAAAAACCTAAAGAACTCATAATTGACTTTAGGAGGAGCAGAGATGTATATTTGCCACTGTAAATAAATGGTGAAGAGGTGGAGAGGGTTAGTAGTTTTCAATTTGTGGGTATCTGTATGTCGGAGGACCTCTCATGGTCTATAAATGCTAATATGCTGGTGAAGAAGGCACAGAAGATGCTGTACTTTCTGAGAGTGCTCAGGAAGATAAATCTGTCTCAACATTTACAGTGGTGCCTTGGCTTACGACCATAATCCATTCCAGAAGACGGACGTACAGTGGTGCCTTGCATTACGACGTTAATTTGTTCCAGCGAAATCGCTCTAGAACGAAAACGTAATGCAAAAATAAAAAGCCCATTGAAACACATTGAAACCCCTTCAGTGCGTTCCAGTGGGCTGGAAACTCACCGTCCAGCGAAGATCCTCCATAGGGCAGCCATTTTCTGTGGCTGTCTTGCAAGGAATCATCCAAAACCACAGTGGGGAGCCATTTTATTTACCCAGTGGCTATTTTGAAACTGCCGAGCAGCATAGTGGAAAATCATCATTTTGCGAAGAATCGGTTCCCAAAGCAGGGAACTGATCATCACAAAGCGAAAAAACCCCATTCAGACCATAGTTTTGTGATCGCAATTGTGATCGCAAAAAGATCGTCGTAATGCAGTTTTGTCATAATGCGGGGCAATCGTAAAGCGAGGCACCACTGTTACTTGAAATGGTCGTAAGTCAAAGCATCATTTCCCATTGAAATGCATTGAAATGCGATTAATCCATTCTGGACAACCCCCCCTCCAAAAAAAACCCCACACAGCAAGCCCAATCAGAAGGCGCTGGGACTTTAAGAAAAACAAAAAAACAAAAATAAAGTACATACCAAGCCCTTTCAGAAGGCACTGAGGCTTTTAAAAAAACACAAAAAATAACAAAGCAAACCCCATTAGAAGGCCCTGGGACTGAAAAAACCAACACACCAAAACAAAAAAACCACAGCACAGAAACATAACACCCCCCAGCCCCAACCCACCCAGCAAAACCCTATAAATGTACTTATTCAGAAGCAGAAAGCAGTACCAGGCAATCCCACGCCTCCTCTGATGCACACACTCTAACCATTGGGGCGAAAGAGCTACAAAGAAGCTCTTTGCCGACTAACGGTTAGCCCTCTAATTTGAAATCCCCGCCTTTTTTCCCTCCCTCTTTTGATCACAACTCGAAGCTTCAGCTGCAGGTTGAAGCAAAATTTTGCAGCTGGAGCTGGTCGCAACTCAAAATGTTCGTATGTTGGGACGGTCGTAAGTCGAGGCACCACTGTACTTCTGTCCTGTTATCGTAGTACCATAGAGAGTGTTCTAACATATGGCATCCCCTCATAGCATGGGAGCTGCTCTGAAATGGACAAAAAAGCTTTACAGAGAATCACTAAAATTGCCCAAAATATTATTGGACTCCAGCTTCCAACCTTGGACAATATTTTTGTATCCCACTGCTTGCGGAAGTCATTCTTCCCACCCTGTTTATTACTTATTTGAATTGATGCTTTCCGGCAGAAGATACAGAGCAATTAAAACTCGAATGACACATTTTTTAAACAGTTTTTATCCCAGAGCTATTGGACTTCAGCTCCCAACCTTGGACAATATGTTTGCATCCCACTGCTTGCGGAAGTCACTCTTCCCACCCTGTTTATAACTTATTTGAACTGATGCTTTCCAGCAGAAGATACAGAACAATTAAAACTCGAATGACACATTTTTAAAACAGTTTTTATCCCAGAGCTACGGTTTTAGGATTGTTATGAGTGTGTGTGTGTGTGTGTGTTTTGGTCTGGTCTCTGAGTGTTCTTTGTGAATTTCGTATGTGTATATAGTGTACAGTGGTGCCCCGCATAGCGACGATAATCCGTTCCAGAAAAATCGTCGCTATACGGATTCGTCGCCATGCGGGGCAAAAAAGCCCATAGGAACGCATTGAAACCCCCTATGGGCAAAAAACTCACCGTTCTGCGGAAATTCTCCCTGTGGATGCCATTTTCGCTGCCCGGTAAGCGAGGAAAGGGCGCGAAAACACTGCAGGTGGCCATTTTTTTCGGCGGCCATTTTGGAACCGCTGATCAGCTGTTTTTAAAACATCGTTATGCGATAATCGGTAAGTGAAACGCTTACTGATCATTGCAAAGCAATGTTTTGCCATTGAAAACATCGTTATGCGGCCGCTTTTGTGATCGCAAAAACCTCATTGCTATGCGGTTTCGTCGTTAAACGAATCACTCGTTATGCGGGGCAGCACTGTATATACATTCAATGACATTATTATTAGCTCGTTATGCGGGGCACCACTGTATATACACATTCAATGATAATTAATTATTATTATTATTATTTATTAAGATGGTAAACACTGAAAAATTGTGTCTGCTCCCCATGTGTGTCTCAAACCTAGCTGTGCAAATCACAGGCACCATGGTCCTTGTGTTGCAAAGCTCCGGAAATTGTATTGAGTGAAAATCATAGACTGGCTTAGTCTTCTGATGGGAAAACTGTAATTTCAGGCAAATGTGCCCACATGGTTCTTGTTTTCCACCACTCTGAAATTACACCCTAATTTGTTGCTATACAACCCATGCCACTTACTGTATAGCAGTGCTTCATTTTCACCACTATTTTTGTTCTGATTTTGTCTGTACTCAGACAGCCTGTAAAAAAAATGGGGAGGGAAATGTGCTAATACGCAAACGCGAAGCCATCTTACAAAACCAGTGCCTGTGAACGATCTTCATCTTATGTGAGCCAGTCTTGAATCGGACCATTTATTGTATCATTTTCTCACTATTGTCCTTGCCACATGGAAAGGCTAGCTTGATATCACTGGAAATTACCAATATATTCCCACCACCACTATAGGAAAGGACAGTCCAGTCCATATCTGGTTTAAAGCTACACGTTGTCCCCATTTGTACAAAACATCACAGCAGAATTAATGAACATTCTGCTTTATTTGTAAGAACAAGCTTTTTCAACAGAAATATGCCATTGCGTACAGACCCATGCACCTGTTTATTTAGCAATGCACAAATAAGTCCTTGAATTAGTTCAAGTTTGTGGGTATTGTTAGGTTTTAAAAAGGATTCTGTTTCAGGCCCTAAATTTGAATATGATGCATGTTTTTTTTAAAAAAATGTATAGATTCCATATTAGGTTATATGTATATATTCATATATTTGTTGGTTTTAATTGTTTTGACAGATGAATGATGGTCCTCTGTGCAAATGCAGTGCTAAAGCCAGAAGAACAGGAATAAGGCATGGGATCTATCCTGGGGAAGAGGTAACCAGGTTCAAATGTCAATCACAGTTGAAAAGAATCCATTTGTTGGCCTTGTTCCGACAGGGTCTGCCAGACCCAATGTAAAGGAAAGCATCCATTGTGTTCAATTTGAGCAGGAATAGGTGGCCCTTTGGCCTTATAGATGTTGTGAACTGCAACGCACGCACACATGTATTTACAGTGGCCACAATGGGTGTGGTGGGTGGAAGTTGTAGTCCAAAAACAATTGGAAGACGAAACGTTGCCCCATCTTTTCGGAGGCATCCCTTATGAAAACACAAAAATGTATAAATTGGGCATCCTCTTTTCTTGTGTAGGATGAAACTGTTCAGGAAGAGGCGACATCCCTTAAAATTGGGAGCATCTGCCGATTCTTTTGAGGCGGCCCTTTTCCTTTCACAGAGAATTTTTAAGATATTCTCATGTAAGCTGTTTGCAGGTCTGCTCGTTTGAAGTCATTTCTCTTTTTCTTTAAAGAAGATGATATTCCCTTGAAGCACTTTAGGATTCTGCTGGACCTTTCTTAATAAAGGAACTGTGGGAAACAAAGGAGAGTAAGATTAGTATGTTTCCCCCCAGGCCATAGCAGCAGAATGGGTAATTGCCTCGACATATGCTAGACAGTGATCTGAGAATACTGAGAGCAAGATGTATCTTAAGAATAAAGGACATGTTGTTCAAATAAGATGGTGAAGTGCTTACTTCTTAATGTACAAGAACTCCTGTAGAAAAAGATGCTGGATAAATGGTCATAGGATAACTAGTAACCTCCAAACTCTCTCTGCGCTGGCAGCACCCAGTAGCTTTCATGTTATTTTGGGGGCAAAGATGTTTCAGGGATTTTTTAATTATTATTAAATTAAGGCTATTTTTAAACTTGTTTTCTTGGATTTCCCCCCCCTCTCTAAAAAGTAACAAAGTGGCAATAAGAAAAGTTGAGTTGTGAGTAATAGTGTGGTAATTAATCCTTTTTAGAAGTAACTTTCTAGCTCAGGGAAGGTGGATTTTTAGCACTCCAGAGACCTTGTTAGGTTGTTAACTCCTTCAGCCTTGGTTAGCATAGTTGGTGGTAAGGAATAATGGGAGGGAGTTCCATGTTTTTTGTGACCCTGTGAGCTGCCATAATTGGGTACAGGTTGATTTTATGTGTAAGAACTCCCCAAACATTCAAAAATTCACATAGAGTGGCATGTCATGTCTAATGTGTTAATGAAGTGGTGCTTTAATTAAAAAGAATTAGGGGTGATTGTTTTGAAAAATTAAGGGAAGTGTTTGGAAAGTGGCAGTCCTATCTGCAATTGAAGTGGTGCCAT